CAAATGGACTTTGAAATGTTATGTCCGAGCCACCCTCGCCGTTCCACATTAATTTGACAAGTTTCTTGAGAGTTGAATCGCTACAGGGATCTTTTATGCCGCCTTCATTAATCTCGAAAAGAGTAGTTTGAAAGAATAGTCCAATTCTAAGACATGCAGAGTTTTCGCAAACCTCTGATGTGTGAGCACTTATTTTCCCTCGCAATGACGTGCCTAGATATTTGTTTGACGCGGTGATGGAAACGACAGTGATAATAAGAATTAAGACAATGCAAAATATAACAGCCAACGTAATCGATAGACACTTCCTTTTAGATAAGTTAAACTGTCTGCAGATCAATTGTGTATTTTCAAGAAAACAATTTTGCTTCTTCGGGGTATTGAGAAAAGCGAACTTAGTTCGCAGTTTATCAAAGGGACTGCTTGAAGTAGTATTTGAGGCTCCAACAGATTCTCTGTTATAATCAAGGTTGATGACAGTTGACGTCTGTCGCCTAGTATGTTGCTTGGATTCCTCAAGGGAACTGTCAAGATTGCGTATTTCCGTAACAGACTCTCTAGCCAGTGACGCATGATTATTTGCCTGCATTAGAGTAGGCCCTGAGTAATTAACTGGAAAAGATACAGCGGGAGGTACAACAGCTTGAAAGGAAACATGACGGGCTACACGGTGGGCTTTGTTTGGACCGAGGGTAGACCCATTCGCCGCCATAATCAACTCAATCATAACAAGGCGTTTCATCTATATGCCTTTTAAGGGGAAAATTATCCTTGAGTCTGCAATCTGATTGGTCAGTCTAATATTTTCCAGTGACATTGCTTGGATTAATTCTACAATGTAAATCGCTTTTTTATAGAATTAAATGCGTAAAAATAGTTAAGATAAAAAGAATACGCTTTTGCTATGGAGATGCGAATAAAATTATGCCTGATTTTATTATTTTTTGATATTTTTAAAAGCAAATATTCCTATAAATTTGGTTTGACAGGAAGTTTTCATGCAGCTTAAGAAAGGCGGATGATTTAATACTTTTTAGCCAAGAAAAATCATCTAAGTCCATAGTGATGTTAAACAGTCAGAAAAGATTGTTTTATGGCAGCCAAATCCTAGCTTCATTATTCATTTCGGATTAATTTTCAAAATCAGGTTTGAGGCCGCTGAAATATTGATTTAGAGGTTAGTTAAATCATATTCAATATGTGATTAAAATCAGCGGTTGCCAATTTTGATATGAATTAAGAATATTATAATTTTAATCTACCTTTCTCTTTATAGACTGTACTTTTCGTTTCAACTTATAAATTGTTTTATTTTGATGAATAAAACAGAAAAATAAGGTTAATCTGGAATGGCTGCACTAAAATTATTCAGGATAAAAACTACACACGGTGTGGCTGCCTGGTTTTGTCACTTCATGTGGGTTCGGCCTGAGCAGACAAATATGTCAACAAGGAGGCCCTGTTTCTTCAAGCAACCATGAATGGGTCGTTGAAACAAACAAAGAACTCATGGTGAAATCAATTTAGTTCTGTAATAAACAATTGAAAAAAAAATTAGGCATTCATTAGGCAATTTACAAACTAGCTCGAAGCTCAACTAATTGACATGATTTGTGCCTTCTGCGAGGGGCCTAGATTCCGCGGATTTAAGTAAGGGCCATAATCGAACTGTCAACTATTCAAATAAGAAGTCGCAATAACTACTAATTTGTATACTTCATAGTTCAAAATCTTACTATTTATGAATGCTTTCAAATAGGAAAAAAGCAATCTTAACAGAAATCGCATTTGTCCTATTTGATTGAGCAGAAAGTGATAAAATCTTGCCCTTGAACTGTGCAAATGATACGGTCATGGCACTAGGTACGACACCTCGATCCAAACGGCCTGGTGCACTTAGCGGTTTACCAGGCCATCAAGCAGATATTGGAAACTAATGATCTTCAAACAGGAAGAAAAAAATTAACTTTTACTGCCATATCAGCACTGCGATTTTCGGTATATTTTTGCTTCATAATGAAATAGAACAATATATAAATAACTTTTATAGGATAAAAAATGATGGGTAAAACAAGCAGGCAGGTCGTTCTGAGGGTAGCAAGTATTTATTACTGGTTAATCAGTTAAGAAAACATTCTTCTCAAATGGCAGGCGTTTTGATAGTTATCGTTAGTCCTTTAGCTGACTTCGGGCTTCACAGGGGAAGGAACATCAAAGTAAGCTGACTTCGGGCTTCACAGGGGAAGGAACATCAAAGTAACAGGAGGTCGAGGGGTGAGGAACAGAAGAGTGATTTACAGTTGCAAAAGAGACAGACACAAAGGTAGAAAAAATGTGAGGTGAGTACTGTGGAAGTAGTCGAATATGACATACAGTGGGGTCATGGTAGTTTGAAGTCAGAAGTCAACTGTTTGGGGGTCGTGGTAGTTTGAAGTCAGAAGTCAACTGCAGGTTAATAGACTTTTTTGCCGTATGAGTATACGTTGCCCATAGTGCACCACGTGGAGGTAAGTCTATCGCACACCCATCTCACTAGTTAATAGACTTTTTTGCCGTATGAGTATACGTTGCCCAGCGGTTTATAGACTTTTTGCCGTATGAGGTCTGTTGCCCAAATATGACATACAGTGGGGTCATGGTAGTTTGAAGTCAGAGGTCAACTGCCGGTTTATAGACTTTTTGCCGTGTTAGGGTTAGATCAACTGCCGGTTTATAGACTTTTTTGCCGTATGCGCATACACAATGACATACAGTGGGGTGATGGTAGTTTGAAGTGAGAAGTTGTGACATATAGTGGGGTGAGGGTAGTTTGAAGTCAGAAGTCCACTGCCGGTTTATAGACTTTTTGCCGTATGAGTATACTTTGTAACATACAGTGGGGTCATGGTAGTTTGAAGTCAGAAGTCAAGGCATACAGTGGGGTCATGGTAGTTTGAAGTCAGTGGTCAACTATACAGTGGGGTCATGGTAGTTTGAAGTCAGAAGTCAACTACCAGTTTATTAAATTTTTTGCCATATGAGAATACGTTCCCCAGGGTGCACCACGTGAAGGCAAGTCTATCGCACACCCCAGTTAAGTAAACAAATTGATCTCAACGATTGAGTTGCGGTCTTCTCCCCTATTCCTTCACGATCTTCGTTGCTGTGTCCATTGGTTACTTTGATGCAGTGTCCACGTGTTAATCAAGTGACAGTGTACCACTATATCTGCGTAAGCTAGATCAATGCCGATTCTAAATTTAACTCTTGAAACTTGCACCCCTAAGCCTTATCCCCTTCTCTACTCACCATCTTTAGAACTTATTCAATTTCTTAAAATTCTTTCGTAGAAACGATATTCTCGACCTTTGTTTTCCTATTACCTCAATTAGTTAATGAGCTAAGCCCAATTATTTGGTCCTGGTTGGCTATTCACTCTCGCGCTTTATAACACCTGAAGTGTCAGCTTTACATCCACGACTCATTACAGTTGCTTGATTTCCCGCTGATACAAAATGTATGGCTCATCTCTAGCTTAGGTACTCGACACTATTAAAACCATAAAGGCAAATCGTTTTTTTTGTTAATTAAACCCAAACCTTATTCCGGAGAATATAAATGATATTCATCAAAGGAAATCCCATTGCGCAGTTGGTCATTGCTAGCAGTCGTGTTTTAGAATAATACAATGAAGTATATAGCTTGAATGGTCATTATTTTATATCTGTTCAACCGCGCGAAATTGTCACAATTCATCAAATTCCCATAATAACACGGAACTAAACGAATTTACATAATTTGGCCAAAATTCAACCAAATAACGGCGCGCAATTCTAGCTAGAATTAGTTAGTTAGTAAATAATCAGTAAGACAATAAAAAATATCCATAATTTACACTTTATTTTCTTTTGGATAAAAGTGCTATATTTTATCAAACATTTCCGGGTCAAGGTTTCTCATCATAACTTTTGAAATTGGGCAACAATAAATGTTTCTAGGGGTTCGTTGGAAAGTTTTAAGCACAGGTGTTGATGACTTCAAGGCCGGAATACGGGATTTAAATTATTTCTGATCATGGGGACCTTATCCACCCAATTTTTGGCTATCGTTATGCACTTCACTGAGCCTATGATTAAACAACACCAAAGCTCTCCGCTGCTTGTGAAATAGAGAAGTGGGACATAGTGAAGCAACCTGGATTTCCACCCCCTTAGAGAGTACCTTCAAGGTAGCAGTCATTTAACGTTTGATGGGAGGAGGGGGTGTAGCCGTAAATCCTGGACCATAATCTCCGCTGTGAATGTAGCAGACTGCATTCGATTGCATAGGAACTTTATTAAGCGGATCCAAATGAATAAGTCGATCAAGAAAGTCGAGACCAGGCAGATTAAGCTAAAAGTCTTAATAACAGACTGTAGTTGGCATTTCAACGCCCCGTAGGTCGCATAGGGGCTAGTATTTCTGCTATTTTAACAAACACCATTAGAGATATCCATTGACTAAAAGGGCATGGGTTCTTGTTTAGAACTACCCAATGATTTTCATCGCGTCCTTGAGATTATGGTTGTGGTTGACGTGGCCTTTACTTGTTATGAATGTGTGGCGGATCGCTACGTTAGTAAAGCCTGACTGACTCAGACATCTCTATGGCAGATTCTCCTACATCTAGCTAGACTCCTAGAATCAGCTAAGCAATAGCCCAGCTATAAAGGAAACAGACGTGTAGCACGGAGCACGTTTATTCAGTACGAGCATTGCGGATAAAGTGTACACGCAGGAAGCTTAATCATGATCAGGAAGGCAGATTAGGTTAAACAAGCAGAGGTTAATGATTGGTCACTGTTTGTACGGTCGCATCTCCCAATCCTGGCGTGCAGGCATGTGATGACGTGTCCTACAAATGTGATTCCCTTTGACAAGTATATTCATATATTTGCAAAGTCCAGTGATTTCAATAATGTAATATTTCTTTTTCTCGGGAAATTTAATTTATTATAGCCTTCTCTAGTCTTAGCCGTGCTTTTAATGTAGATTCGGAATTTCTGATTGGTGGTCTATATGCATCTGCCCAATTTAAGTCTAAACTATCGGAAGTACTTACAGAGTCACGACCTGAAAAAAAGTCACCAAAGCAGATTTCTACCTCAGTAACACGAATAGGGTGAAGATTTTTATTTCACCGTCCCGAAATTTTGTGTATCGGTAGGATGGGATTGAAGTCGGAACCAATGATATTTGAATCTCGTTTGAAGTTCGAAATCTGGACATTTATTGAAGCTCGCATTGTTTGAGTGATAGTCTTTTTAGTAATGATGATCAAGGCTCTCCTATTTTAGACAATATTGGTGCTATTTTTAAGGGAAAATGTTCTCTGTTTGCCACCTCAACATTAAACCACATATAAGACAACTTAAATTTGGTGGGCTACAATCCATTCAA